ACAGACATATGCACACCCATGTTCATCGCAGCACTATTTACAATAGCCAAAAGATGGAAACAACCTAGGTGTCCATCAACTGAGGAATGGATATCCAAACTATGGTACATACACACAATGGAATACTATGCAACGCTAAAGAACGTAGAATCAGCAAAACACCGTATAACGTGAATGAACTTGGAGGACATTATGCTGAGTGAAATAAGTCAATCATAAAAGGACAAATATTGTATTAGTCCGTTATTGTAAAAGTCAAGGAAACATTGATCTATGGAAGGACATTTTCTTTGTTGGTTACCGGAGGGGTGGGGAGGGTTGGGGAGGGAGCACTGTTAGACAGATAGAAATAAGTATTGAATTGGGTGAAGAGAAGTGCAACGTACCAAATGTGAGTGATCAATATAGTGGTATTGAGGAAGAGAAAGACATAGAGAGGTACGTGGGAAGTACAGACAACAAAGATGTACCCTTTTGCACATATAGTACAGCATTGTCAGTGAATGAAAACATGGGTATATGGGTGGATAGATGGGTGGATGGGCTGAACTATTAAGTATGTCTATGAAGTGGGAAGTGTACCCAAGAACATGTATATGGTTGGCAGACAATGGTCCTATAACTTTATGGGTATGATCTGAATTCCCAGGCATATAGTGGAGATGACAAGGGGCAAGTTTGTAGTCACTACTTGGTCACAGCCAGCTACCCAGAGGGAACGAGTAGTTGAACTTGTGGGCTTGGGACCATAGTCGCAGAGGACATCAACCTCAATTGGCATAACATACTACACAAAACATTGTTCTGCCTCCTACTGTGGCGAGTAGCGACTGGGATTTTAAAAGCTTGCAAGCTGCCATCTAGATGCAACAATGGGTCTCTCCTCATCCAGAGCAAAGAAGAATGAAGAAAACCAAAAATTCATGAAAACAATTTGTCCTAGCGACTGGTACACCATCCAATCTGCAGCCTATATGACTATGAGACCGGAAGAACTAGATGGTGCCTGGCTACTACTGTCAACCACTTGGAAAAGGATCTATAGTAGATCCTGGATAGAGAGGGAGAACAATGTGGAACAAAACTCAAAATCACTTGGAGGAAAAAAAAAAAAGGGAGGACCAGGTTTGCTGGTCTGCTAGAGCCTGGTGGAACCACTGAGACTATGGCCCCTAGCTGCCCTTCAGGTCTGGAATTGAACCCAAGCCTTTGGCTTCCAGCCAAAGAATTGACAGACATATGAGAAGAACAATTACCTGAGGTAGATACACTCCTTAGAGAGAACAAACATGGGAGAAAGAAGGGCTGCTTATGCACAGGGAGACAGCTCATGGGGCAGGAGTGCATGGAGGGATGGACACAGTGAAGAGGTAACTATCAGGAGGAAGTAAGAGGGGAGATATTGCATTGTGGTAAATTGTGGTCAATGTCATCAGACAAAGTGTATGTGAACTGCTGTATGGAAAGTGTATTTGCTCTGTAAATTTTCACCCAAATCACAATAAAAAAATAAAATAAATTTTTAAAAAAAGCTTGCAACCAGCCATCTAGATGCAACGATGGGTCCCTCCTCCTCCTGAGCCAAGAAGAATGAAGAAAACCAAATATTTATGGGAACAATTAGTTCTCCTGACTGGTATACCATGTGATCCTCAGCCTATACGACTATGGGATCAGAAGAACTAGATGGTGCCTGGCTACCAATGTCAACCACTCAGAGAGGGATCTATGTAGGAGATTCTGGATAGAGAGGGAGAGCAATGTGAGACAATACTCAAAATTATTTGGAGCAAAAAAAAAAAAAAA